CCCTTGAAATTCTGTTCAGTGTTCGGTATTCAATGCCCCCAACCGTATGTTACCCAACGTATCCAACAATGTCGTTATTAATCATATGTCAATGCACACCCAACTGCCAAAATTATACAAACACCCTAAAATTTTTACACTGATAAAACACATGAAACCTTTCTTTGTCGAACTTTATTATCGCTAATATTCAATGAATAAACAAATAGACTGTATATGATTCCAAGCGCTTGTTTGCTTTTTGACAAATCTGCAACAAGTGTGGTAATAGTGTCATCCATCTTATTATACAAATATAGCGTATATGAATCATCCGGTAGCATTTGGTTTCGTAGATGTAAGATATTCTTTTTAGTCGAAACAAATACAAAACAATATGTGCAACAAAGAGTTTGATAAAGTAGGGGTTTCCGTAAATTTAGGGGTGATCGTATATGGATGTGCATATGTATATGAATTTGCGTATGTATATGAATTTGCGTATATGAATGAATGTGCGTATGATTGTGAATGAACGTATGTGAATGAATGTGCGTATATCACGTATCGATTGTTAATATATTGTAAGGCCCTCACCTATGATGTCCTAACAGTTAAAGAGTTTTAGCACTCGGGTATTGCTCTTATACCGTAAGTAGTCACCCAATCAATTGATAATTGCTGTTGTACTGCATTCAACCTAATAAAGTTTGACAGAAACCGACGATAAGGACGAATGAAACACAGGGGAGAGAGAAACACAAGGCAAAAGTCCGGAAAAAGAGGAAAAAACAGTGACCGACGAGAAGGCTCATTAGACAGAGACACACATATATATATATCATTATGAAGCAAGATAATTTTGAGATGGAACTCGCTTTCTTATCTATTGTATCTACCTTTTGCTTCAATAATTCTCACACCCAGCCCATGCTGTGCAGTTTTTTTGCCATGATAATTGCAAAAGTGTAAAGAGACGTGATAAATAACATCTGCTGTGTCACACAACGGTCAGGGGAGGTACCGGTGCGCGAACGACATTTACATCCGCATTGATGCAAAGCATACACCTTTGTTAAACGTGCTTTCCTTTGTTGTCCGCTCGTTGTTGTCGTTTTCATTTTGCATTTACCAGTATTAATTATTTTATTCCTTTCCATCGTTATACTATTGTTCCCACTTTTCTTAGATTGCATAACCGACTTTCATTTTGCCTTCCGTAAATATCACAATCTGCTTAGCAAGTTTGTTCGTAAGCATTTATGTTCTACAAACTCTTCACAGCCGCAAAAATTTCCTCTTATAATATTATAGGGATCCAATCATGCATCCCTCTTTTACTGTAGGGCGTTGCAAAAAGAAACCATAATTGGCATGAATGACGATAACAATGATTATGATTGCCAAGTAAAAACCCTACGAAATCTATATTCACAATGGTTAATTAACATTTCCGAGACAGTATAGACTATTCCCCTTTTCCACTCTGTCATAGCAACCAAGTTGGGGAAACATCGCTCGAATCCAGATAGTTTGCATGTATTGTTCATCTTACGTACGCCTTGACGATCATTACACACAACTCATTTGATGGTCGCAAATGCTCAGCCTCAGATAAACACACTCGCATGCGTTGAAAGCAAACCTGCATGCCGGCATCATATCAAAGCAAATGCCTATCGCAAAAACGGTAATCTGTGTCTCGATGTTACCCTGTTTATGGCAGTCGGAGATGACATTGCGAGATGGAGATTTTCGGACGAGGTTATAATAAGTTTTTTTTTAAGACGAGGAAAAAAAAAAGATGTAGAATAGTAAATTTGGAACATATTAATACGAATATTGTCAACATGAAATTTGAGAGAGGAGGGTCCCAAATTTATACTTTTGGGTGATCTGGCATCATCAGTCCGCACTGTACACATTGTGAGTGTGGCTTCATGCTATTATAGACATTTCGGGAGAGTGTTACACGCACAGAAAGTTAACATGATGTATATTCGGTCAATAATGTTGGGATGTACCAAGACCAAGTTGTTTGATTGATGTCGCTAGATACATGAACCTGTACAGTACATGCGTACTAGTACCTTTCAATAAGACGGCCTTTGTCCAGCTATCAATCCATATATGACGTTATTCGGTTTCTAGTTTCAGTATTTTTGGCTAAACTGTTTTGTATACGTATTAGCAGTTTAGCTAGGTTGTGATGGGTTGCGTATGGATTGTGTATGGATTGTGTATGGGTTGTGTATGGGTTGTGTATGGGTTGTGTATATGAGATTAACTGAGATAGTAGTGGTAGCTAGCACACGGATCGGCACGGGGTCTTAGTCTATCTATATTTGTACATTGTCATCGGCTTGTCTATCCAGCGTTTGATTGGTTCTTTATGGTTGTATGGCGTACGGGTATTTCCGTGTTACACGTTAATACAAAAAAGAACTTTAAACTGCTCGAGTGGGCAATGATTATCCGTTAGCTTAGTTGGACGATTTTAAGAAGTGTGTGAAAAAAAAAAAAAAATGCAGAAACAGAGTAAAAGGGAATGGGGGAGGGGTGGAAAAGAGATGAACTAATACTAATACTAAATTATTTGAACAAAAAGGGATACCTTCCTTGACCCTCCCCTCCTTCCCACTCCCCCTTCTTCTTCTTCCCCAGGAAAGAGAGGTAGAGATAACTATCTGGATAAACAAAGTGGCTGTGTCACTTGCCGAAAGAAGAATGCCGAGTAACATTTAAACTTGTTGTCATTGGTTAAAATCCGGTTAGCTGCGGGCGCTATTATTATTATATATCCCTGCTGGGAGGATTCCATGCGCCGACACATTATTGGGGATATCAGTGTAAAATGGGTTGTCGAATACTGAAAGATCAAAAAAAGTACTAATATCGAGCATTCAGATGTGTGATATAGCGTACGCAACTATTGTGAACAACAGTTAACTCTTTGACTGCAAATATAAAAGTGTTGTGAAAAGTCGTCAGATGATCGATTGCGTAAAGTCTAATAAAGAGCTTAGCTGCTAGTTCTTTAGCGTCACGATTTTCCTCACTTTTGGAATTGGGGTTTTTCATATGATTTGCATTTTAATAGTAACCAAAGTCAAGTAGCTGCGGAAAGCACGATTTCAGCTAGGACGTTTCCATGTGAGTAACAAAATTGAATTCTTTATTAACAAAATAATGGAGAGGAAAGGGTATCGTTTTTCCTTTCCACCGGTATACCGTTTTCCCGGTTTTCCCGGTTTTCCCGGTTTTCCAGCTGCTTTAATTATCTTCCGAGCGCATATCTTCAACATATCCAAGTAGGATACTAAAAGAGTTCAATACGACTCGAAACGTGGACATAACTATGCTAACAATTTATGCTAACAATTGATATAACAAATATTTTGTAGATCCAAACCTACATCAATTCCACGTTATCGAGTCTTGTTTTGCCTTATCAGCATTCCGTTAGTGTTATGAAATTTGCCTAAAAAGCACACAGCAATTGTTAATCTATTGTACCTCCTTCCTTTCCTCTCTCCCCCATCAATTATCAGCCCCCTCAACCTCTTACCATCACCCTCTGACCCTCTGACCCTCTCCCCATCTCAATCTCTCACCCCCTCAACTCTATTTTGAACCATCCCCAGAATACCTATTGCTGTTGTAGAAAATGGAAAACAAAGTTTCCAAAAATTGGGCATTCACTCGCACAGAGTGTTACCCTTATTATCGGGTTGATAATGGTGTCGGCAGGAATATCCTCGGCAAACCTCACTGAATACTCCAGGCCCTCCCCGATAAGGACGTAAGGAAAGTAAATATTACTATTGGTTGATGGTATTTATAGGCAGTCGACATACGAGGTGGGATTGTGGGATTTTGATAAGTTGGATGGATTCTACCGCAGTAGGTGGTCTGGATTACGACATTAGTTAATTTTGTGTCACGTCCCTATAATGAAGCCACTTTTGGTTAACTCAAGCCTAAATACATGATACCAGAATATAGACTTTCAAAGCGAATATCGAGCAATGTTGTTCGCCAGGTGGCATGCAAGGTGAAATACGCGCAGAGTGTGGGTAGTGCGCTAATTTGCAGTACGCGTATTACATAAAGTGTCTGGGTATGTCGATAAAGGATATGTTTGCTCTTTTTCTTTTTCTTTCTTTCTTTGTCTTTTTTTTTTTTTCTTTTCTTTTTTTTTTGGGTGATGGGTACCCGGGCTCGGTTTTGCCGACAAGGGCATTTATTCTCGCTATAGCAATAATGGGTGATATTGGGCATAGTTGGTTCGTTTATTTCGTTTGTTTGTGTGAATTAAATTGAGTAATGTGCAGTATGGCGGCTAAAACAACACTGTTATAATTTGATTGTATTCAAGATGACGTTTGGATGAGGGTGAATACAATGAATACAATGTATGAAAGAAATATATCTGTCCAATAAAAAAGCCCTACCCAAACTTAAAAGAGGAGGGGGAGGAGAAAAGGTTGGTAACATTTGAACGTCAGCATCGTTAAATGCCTGTGCTGTGCAATAATCTAGCGTATTGCTGTTGTCATAAAGCTTATTCTTTTGTTGCTTATTTTGCGCACTTTGCATTTTTCTTTGTCAGTATTTATCCTTGTATTTTTATAGTAAGTACCAGCCACAGGGTAAATACTTTATAATTTATACGCTTCGAGAGGAATACGTTTGTCAGACTATATACAATACTTGTTTTTTGGTAGTTTCAAGTAATGGAATAGATTATTAATGTCTTTCAGACGTTAAATTGATGGGGCCAGACACTTAAGGAGAGAATGGTAAATGATGTCGATTATTGTGTTGATTGAGAAGCAGATCATTTTAGATTATATATTTATATTATTTCATTGTAAATATAAAAGTAGGCAACGTAAAAGATGGGTTGTTCTGGGACGTTTTTCCAGATTCTTTGAATAGGTTCGATGTTAATTTTTGCTCTTTCCAGAGGCGAACGGACATGTTGCTGAACGCAGGTTAACTGTCGCTTGCAGTTGGAGATGTCGAATGCCGGAATGAGCGTTACTCGTCCTAGCCATTGTATAGTGTCCACTGTTCGTGATGCTCAATTTGATGAAATGCTGTGTATTTTAGTTGCAAGTGAGAGTGCAGTTTGTCGTATTCACAGTACTAATCGAGCATACGCGCGTGACGCTGTTTCAAATAATTTATACAGAGGTGGGTGTAGGGACAGGGACTCTATTACTATTACTATGCATACAGTTTTTTAAACAAATAATTTACTTACAATAAAATGATGGCACAAATACATCGAACAAATGACACAACATAAAAAAAATAATAGCACAATCAACAAATAAGCAAATGCAAATAGCCCACAATTATAACAAGAATGACTTGCAGTCAGTAAGCCCATACAACAATACCTTTTATTTTGTTCATATGTCACGTGGACCTGATACATATCATATATAATTTCATTCACACAAACTCCGGATTTATATTTTTTCATCTTTGCGCACAGGGATTAATGTTCCTTTCGATAACGATAAACTGTTGAAAAAAAAAAATTACAGAGACAGCCGACAACGTTGTGTCATAAATGAACAAAACATAATATCGATATCCCTACGCTAACGACCACTCATACTGAATAACCCCGCATTTTTTACGATCTATTAACAAAAATATTCATCAATATCCTCGCACCGAGAATCGCACATCTAAATATTCCACAACACAAGCTTTTTCTACAAAAATATCTTTTCCATATCCGTATATTTGTTTTTGACAAATACGCACATTCAACACATCCACTCGCGTACGCAAGAAACTCTGCGCGTTGACTACTGCCCCACGTAGACTTTTGTCTAAACCAACCACTCGCTATCCAAGGCCACACCCCATCCTTTATCCGCAGCAACGCCCCCCCTTTCTCCCAACCCCATACAAACGCCAACCCAAAAAATTCCTGATACAAAAATTTATCTTTTTGTCGACTCTTACTTTTTGCAATCCTAAAAATCAAAACACCACTCTCCTACCCCCAACCTCTAACTGTTCCCCCCCCACCCCCACTGTTATTATCAAAAATTACGTCAGATCAAATTCCAACACCTTAACCAATCATTTGCTTTTAACTTCATTAAAAGCAAACATTAACTGTTCTCAGGGACAACTTTGCAACTCAGACCTTCAACTGTTAACGATGCCAAGGGTGAAAACACCGGGCGACCCGAAGCAGCAAAAGTATGTGATAGATAATAATCTCCGATCGAATTACATTTAGAAATAGAATTATGATTAATCATGGTGCATGAATAGTCGCTCCTATCTACCATCGAAACTCACTCGATATTTTTTATACACAGAGAGCGTCCTAGACGTTCAACAGCCCACTATGGAGACGAGGCAGCCGCTCTTTATGCTGAATTAGATGCCGAAACTGAAGAAGACGAAGAGGCTGGGGTACCGCAGTATGTCGAGTCAACTTCGACTGCTGCTGCTGATGTTGCTCTGGCGACATCTTCAGAACACATTGAAGAGTTCCAAACACAAGGTATGTATTAATGGAAGCGACTTGCAAATCAAACCCCAATGTTTTCCGAAAGAAGCGTGATTGAAAGTTTAGAAAAAAATATACGTAATGATAATGAAAGACGCCAACATTACCACCACAATACAATGGCCCCCCACGACAACTGCAACAAAACGTAAAAAATAGCAACAGTTTTTCAATGAACAATAGAAGCGACAGCATTTATGACAACCGCAACGCCATAATAACCGCGACAAAAAATTGACCGGGCAACGAACCGGGCCGACAGTCACAGCGATTACAACGACTAGTAATAATAACATTGACTTATAACATATACAACATTAATAATTTTTAATGCGTTCAGGACTATTCAACGCCCCCAATGAAATATAATCTTGACCGTCAAAGTCGTTATAGTAATTAAATTATAGTTAACAGATTCCATATTCCATCCTATGGTTGATTGTATTAGGGAAGAAACCACGTAAGAAGAAAAGACTCGGTAGTATGAGCTATGGTGTAAAACCAAAGAAGCGTAAAGAGTCTCTTACCTCTAACTTTAGAGGCCGTGACTTGGTGTTTGGTAAGAATGCAATAAATACTTGCTTGGTTTTTTTTTTTTTTGTTGTGTTTTTTTTTTTTTGGTAAACTTACGCGGTTAATGTAATTACAAGTGAATCCTCTGGATAAGAAGCTGGCATTCTGGTGGCCTGCCATGGTACGCACGTTTTAACAAGTGTGTTGCGGGACGAGAAAAAAAAAACATTGTCAAATTATTTGATTATTCCATCTCCTTGATCTAATTGCCCATCAATTCACTAGGTCGTTCCTTCTGATGAAGTTGACGAATCCATGACTATAGAATCGCTCGGGGAGAAAGAGTGTATAGTCAAGTATTTTGAAGATGATGCATAGTAAGCTTTCCATCTTTATCAAACGAGCAGTTAGTCTGATCTGATCAAACTTACAAACGATCAATTAATTCGCGTAATAATATCAATGCCTTTTTTACAGTGGAACTGCCCCTCACAGAGATATGAGGATCTTCGATCCAAACAAAGAGCCATTTATATCATATGGAAAAGAGCATGGAGCACAGTTCATAAATCATCCTGCAGTAATAAGAGCACTGGAATGTCTCCGAAATGGAGAACCACCAACCGAATTTAAATGGGATTATTGGATGCGTCCAGCTGGATCTCGACGAACATCTCAAAGCAACTCACCCAACTTTTCTTTCAACCGAATATCTCATTATCCTAGAAATGTAGATCCAATACACGAAATGAACAATGATACTAATGATACTGAAAAACAATTTCGATTGTATGAATATCACATTAACAATAAGGACATTTCAGAGTATAAAAACCACGATAACACGCATCATAGTCCCGCAACGGAATCAACATTTGACCACGATGATAATGAAGAGAGTAGTCTGCAGTTGCATCAATCAGAGGAAAATATTGATAGAGATGAAAATTTGATCAAAGTAGAGCCAACAGACCAAGAGCCCACTCCTTCTATTCCAAAGAAACATCATGACCAAGGTTGTCAAACGGACGCGATTGTTCTCCCCCAATTTTTTGAACCACATCAACAACAAACAGACACTTCTAAGCGAACATACTTTAAAGATCTGCGAGGACGTCGTATGCTTACTCGTTCGCAAACACGAGGAGTTCCAGGTGCAGTCAGTACTAGCCGTTACGTTACAGTAGCACAAATAACCAGAGACAACATAATAGGACATTCAAATCCAGCAAAGGCAAACACAACGAATCATTCAACTGATTCATTACAAGGTGCGGCCAACACGGACATTTCAAGGGATGCCGCGGGTGAGGATATCACCACCCCACCAGTGCGTAAAGAGAAACGCGGCCGCAAGCCATGGAAGAAGGCGTTGGCGGAAGCTTCCAACATGGAACAATCTCAAATTGAAGCCGCTTCAGCATCGACTGCTCCGATACAATCAACTGAGGTCATGTATGTAGTGCCCAAGAAGCGTGGCCCTGGAAGACCGAGAAAGAAACCAATACTTGAACCGGTCATCGTTGAGCAGAGGGTACTACCACCTCAAGAGACCAATGATCATGAAGAGGTCTCGGCTTCTTCGGACACTGGAACAAATATCGCGCGGCGGTCGCCCAAACGACGCCGCGAAACGAGTGTATCTAGTAAGTCCGATAATAATGACGATATCGCTGGATTGAAAAGGAGGACAATAAAGAAAAAACAAGCAGTCAAAGTACCATGGTATAGACGACGTCGTCTGCTTCCGATAGAAGCTTTACCGGCAGAAGATCAAAGGACATTAGCCATGTTTGATTTTAATTCTGATGTTAGCGCCGAAGAATTGGAAGGGCTGTATCAAAAAGCATACAAATATATGAAGGATTTGAAAGTCGAATACAGAAACCTAAAGGCACAAGAGAGGAAGCTAACCAAGCAGATCAATGCGCGGATCAGAGAAAATTCAACAGCTATGATAAGGGCCAGTCCTGATCCAATCTCACCTTTGAGAGAGACTGGTTTTGACTAAAACTTTGTATGCCTGATGTCCTATATCGTATGATCTCTTCGTATGCCTATGTCCGATGTCCTATATCATATGATCTCTAATTTACGGGATTCTACCAGCCATTATAATCTGTGGATTCAGCAGTTGGATGAATTTAAGGATTGAATATAAGTTGTCATTTACGTATAAATTTGTAATAAAGTTATACCAATTTATTCTTCTAATTGTTTGGACGATTTATTACTGCTTTATAGATATCCATTTAGCATATTATTTTATAACGTGAATTTCATTAGGCATACACTACATCTGGCTCAACGTCAACGCGCCCACTCGTTTCGAAGAACATTTCGAGTTTCGGTGGCAAGATTGCTGGGACGCGTTTGACTTTGGGCCGTTCTCGATATGATATACAGCATGTCGATGATTGTTTATATATGTTCATATTAACCTTGCTGTTTATATTTAGTTCAACTTTAGAAGGATTTCTATTTCTATTCTGATTCACAATGATGTTAACTTTTTTTTTTCTTGTAACGATCGGGGGGGGAGAGGGTTTTAATGTTCTTTCAATGCATCACTATAAAGATGCCAATAAAGAAACATGTCAAAACTTTTTACCATGTTCCTGGTACCGTGCAATGTGTTTTGTAAAAAGGTATAATATTAAAAAAAAAAAAATAATGTGGGTCTGCAGGGATTGCCAGGGAAAAAGATTTAAATATTGCTAGGCAATTATCAGACAATGTATTCGCTCTTAGAACAGTTTGTAGAAATGCTCTAATTTTCCGAGAAAAAATCAGAGATTAAAAGAAAGGCTTTTTTTAAATCATAATTTTTCAAGGTCTGTTTACTGTCAACCAAAAACTCTTGCACCACTGAAAATACCGGTATTTCCACGACCGATTTGCCGGTTATAACTACGCGAAACGTGAGGATGGCAAACCTTTTTGAATTAAGTTGTTATGTAATGTATTGGCATCTTCTTTTGTATCGAGCCGTTGTGCATAAACCATAAACGTAATTGATAATGATATTTCTTTGCTATAATCAACATCTGAACGTTACAAGTTGGAGGGACGACTCTGTTCTCTCAATATCAACACATGAAACAATGCATATTTATACTATTCTATCCAAAATGGTACTCGTCGAATAGAATTCTCGAGTCTTACTGTGAGAAAAAACGAAAGACCTCACTATATTAACCCGGTAACCTGCAAGTTATTGTTTTGCCACCACCGTTGCGCGTTGAAAGAGTCACTAGTATATTGAAGATGGTAAAATTACAGAAGAGTTTTTGGAAAGAATTAAGTTATTCAGATGGCGTTAATAAAGGTGTTGCGAGAATTTAGACACGTCGACAATCCTCAAGAGTATATGTTAACGCACGGATCAAATTATACGATACCAAATCGTAATAAACAAGTAAACTCTTCAACTATATTTATGTTGGACAAGACTTGTCGATATCCTCCCCCCCTCATTATTGTATTTATTGATAAGGAAAAAACGCGAATATAAATCTAGCCACAAGTGATAATTATTACTTGATTCACCGGTTGGTGTAATAATCAATAATACTTCACTGTTTGTTTGTCGTCGTTGTCGTCATCTCGTCATCGTTCCTGTTGATGTTGCATTACACCGTAAAGATGGTAAGTTTACAAAGTACGGACTTGATCAAAGAATGCAAATAATAGCAGCCCATCTCGATAAAATATTCTTACCGCGTCGTCCAAATCACTATATTATCCAAATCCCATATAGCAGAATACAAGCTCTCGTTAATAAGTTATCTCTTCTTCTTTGACGAATCAGTCATTGCCCGAAAGAATAGTAAAAGTTCCATAACGAACATGAATTCCTTGAACGCACGTTTCCATAACTCAAGAATCCAACTCATCTTCGCTTTTGTTATTTCTTGTTCTCTTTGTAATACCTGCGGGCCAGTCAACAGCCTTTCTCTTTTTTTGCCTGCTCTTATTCTTGAGCATTTTGTAGCCGTTGGTCGCAGGAGATTCTACTCTTAACTGTAGTGCTTTCTCATACGTTGAACTCGACATTGAAAAGAGCCGATCGCTAGCAAGTATTGGTAGCTTTCTTTTCTTGTCCAAGATACTGGCATGCTTTAGATAATTATCGAATCCACGGATAAGGTTTCCGCCGTGATGTATGGTATCAGAGAGGTAGTCGCCCTCAAAGTTGTATATTTCCCGTTCCAAACGAGCCAACTGAACGTCGAGATCAGACTTTTTGTGGTTGAGGCCGTCTAACTCTTGTCGCAGTTGTTCATATCGTTTGTAAGTGAGCTGGTGATCTTCTATTTGTTTCGAAACGTCCGGCATTCTTTAAAAGTCGTTTCGCGTTATATCGTTATGCATGAGCATACGCGCATGAAAAGAACACACGAATTTCACGTGATTAGGATATCCATTGGATGACGAATTCGGGGAAGGTTTATAAAGTGAGTCTTTCTAAATATTAATGAATAATGTCATTCAAACTGAAAGCTAAATTTGGGGCAATATGCAATAATTTGAGATAAAAGTTTTTCTCTGATCATCAACGGAATTGTATTATTATTAATAATAATTACGAACAACATTTTAATTTACCTCTCCGGTCGATGTAGCGCTGCCAACGTTCGAGTCGCGCGCAAACTTGAGATTGCAGGTCATTTTAGATATTTATGGCTACACCGACTTAAATAATAATAAAACCATTTAACTTAATTAATGTTTCAGGGATATCCGTTTTATAAACAAACATAATATATTGCGACGTTTTCCTAACTTGTTCGATAAAAATAGCAAAGCAAAAGCCTTCCTTTATAAAATCGAAGTATTAACGTAATTGTAATGGGCATGAGTATGCCTGCTCTTCTAAAGATCTGCGCGGTCATCTCTCATTTCCCAGTTAAAGTTATATAATAGCTTGAACCGTAAAACCAGAACCTGAACATAAATAAAATGTTGAAATAGTTTCTAAACCTAATCGGCATCAAACGTTAAAACCTTATACAGTTTTACGTTTAATGTAGATACACATCCACGTGCTAAAGTATTGGCAATAAACTCCTTTTGTCGAATACTATCGAAGACTGATTTTAATTGGTAACGTCATATTTCTTTAAATATTTTTGATGCTAGACGGATTTCCCTCGTTTTAATCTACCTCAGTTATATTTTCCACTCAGATATATCCCCTTAATTATATTAATATTAAGCAAATTTATTGACCATATGTATCATTGTATTACACAATAAATTATGTTGTCTCTATATTTAATATTAATATGTGTTAGAATATGTCGATTATTTGCTTCATTTTAATTTGGTTGGTCACAATTCTCGATACAGTAAAAATCAGGCCACAAAATCAGGCCACAAAAATCAGGCCATAAATTCAACAAATCAAGTCACTAATTCAACGTCGAGACATACTAAATCAGGCCGTAAATCAGGTCATACATTAAATCAGAAAATAGTTTAGTCTCATTAGCGTTATACCATTGGTCATTCACCTTTGCTCATTCATGCTTAAGCCAGAGACGACGAAGATACTGCCTGCAGAAACAACTCTTGCCATTACAGATGGCATGGATATGGATCAGACTGATGATATTAGCTGAATTAGTTTTAGCTCTTGATAGACTTAGTATCGTAGATAGTTTAACAGCAGAAGAGTATGTTCAGATAGATAATAATTTGGTCAGTGCAGATTTACCTACAGAAGAAGAACTCATCGAAGAAATTCTTCTGACTGAAGGTGTCTTATACCAGACAGAAATAGATGTTTAAGTAAAGGGAAGAAGCAAGTATATCCATAAAGGTAGGAAGAGAAGCACTTGCGACGGCCAAAAAAAGAGAATTTGCAACATTAGATACATTGCGCAATATAATTCGGCGCTTAGATGAATCAGTAGATAGGTTAAACGTCTCTGATAGAATTTATTAACCAATAAAATTGCATGATATTATCTATTTAAACGCCATACCTTAGTTATATCCCACCTCAGGTATATCCCCAAAAAGGTAGAACTAGTTATATTTTCAAGAGAATACCAATATGTCGATTATTTGTTGGTGGAACTTTTTGTATACATGAAATTGGGCAATGGATATAAAGTTCTATCTATTAGAAAGCTAGTATACTTCTCTTTAGATAATCGGTAGTATGTTCAATTTGAGTTGTTATTAATATTCAAAGTTTTTATTCTACCATCAGATGGCGTCGAAGCATTATTAAATGGTATACGCAAACTTAGTTGATTTCGTTTCAAAGAATGCCCTCTCTTGGCAATGCGATTCTTCGAACGATCGATTCTATGAAGCACCGCATTATTTATTTCCTGTATGCTCGGAAATAATTCAAAACCAGTAAGTTTTAAGGTTCCGAATGCATGTTTTTATACTTAATTGGATAAACTGTATCACTATTTAAAGTTGGTCAAGTGATTTGCATGTGTTATACCACATTCGGACATATGTTTGTAGAACACCTATAAACCAATTACAGACTTACCCGCAGCGAATGTTCAACGAATCAGAGTTATATAATGCAGATATTCCCTCTCTCTTTTTTCCCCTAACCCTTCCGCGAACCCTAAAAAATAATTTCGAAAATAATAATTTCGAAAATAATAATGTCTGAAAACACAAACAACAGCAGTCCACGTTTACGGTCCTCTTCTCCTGTTACTCCACCAGATTCCCGTAAGCCTCGGCAGAGATGGACTGAAGAAGAGACTAACGATCTTACGAATGGCTGTTACGAGGTTGGTAACCAAAGCAAAATGTTGTCTGACCTTCCAAACCGTTTGAAAATCCATAAAGCTTGTCCTTTCCCATTATATAGCATGGTGTAGGGGCATGGAGGGCAATATTGAACGACCCCAAATATTCGTTTAATAATAGAACCACTGTTGATCTAAAAGACAGGTTTGCTTGTTGATAATTCATGCGTTGTTTTTTCTTTGTCTTTGTACAATTGTTGACTTTTATTTGATGAATATAGATTTCGTACTTTATTCCCAGAAGAATACATACGTTTGTATGATGCAAAAAAAACGACGATACCCAAGAAGTATCAAGGCAGAACATTACCTCTGCCATCAACACCTTTTGAGAAAGTACAAGGCAGAAGGGTTCGTAGGCCTTTTAGGCCTGACGAGGACGTTGCTTTAAAGCGAGGCGTGGAGCATGTGAGTATTCTCTATAGCTTGCAATTATAACCTCATGTTTGGACTATATTGATGGTATCGTAATTTTTTCGCAGTATGGCGTAGCGTGGGCGAAGATTATGAAGGATCGGGAACTTGGTTTGAGCCACAGAAAGAGTACTGATCTTCGCGATCGGTGTGTTTGCTGCCAATCGCAGTTTGGGCTGTAAACTGTCTAACTTACGATGTATAATGTCTAATCAGTTGATATAATATGTCACATAATAGATATCGTAATGCATTTCCCGAAGAATACGAAAGGTTAGGATATTCTCCTAAGCAGAAGAAGTCTTACACAATGAGCTATGCGTCGAGAGATAGCCCTTCGCACGACAGTCAGGGTGTCGTAAGTATAGTTAAAATGTCTTGCTTGTAACCATTGCTGCATTCACGTATAGGTCTCATCTTGGTATTCCGTGCTTATTTACTCATTAGCATCAGAGGCCAACTGCCATGAACTGGTCTCCTGGTGGTCAATCTGTTATATATTCACATCCAATTGAATCATCTAATTTTGACGAGGTCATGTCGACTTCTGATAGAGATAGTGATATTGGAATAACCCAGACATCGAGAGGCAGTTGGTCTCAGGAGGTTGAAGGAATACAACCCACATACGTTAAGACTCGTAGTCATAGAATGGTATCCAGAACATCCAGAAGCCTTAGATAATAGATTTAAAGATGATCGTCAACGGATGACTTTTTAATAGATATTGATAATCTCAAAATCACATGTTCACTACTCATTGTTGTACTATTGTCAGTGGTCAACCTTGATTTAGCAAAGGTCGATATGTACGTACATCGACATAGTATCCCGGTATAAGCTTTCTTCCCTTTTATGTTTACAATCTACATTATCTGAAATTTTTATTCCGTTCATTGCTACGCTACATTCAGCTTGCCTTTTGATACAAAACCGTAAAGTTCTAATGTTTAGTATATCTATTCAGCTTGCAGCCTACTCATGCCCTTTGGTCTCTTACTTCGGCCTTATCGACAATTGTTTGAATAGTATTTCGGGAAATGATATATTTCGAAAAGCTCCCACTGTGTCTGGCTCACAATAAACCTCGTTCTTCGGTTTTAGGTGTTTGATCAAGATGTTGATTCATTTTCCCGGTCAAAGCTAACTTAAAAGATTCAAATCCTACATCGCAATGCCGAAAGCTAGAGATTACCAACCAAATAATTAAACTATGCTCCATTCAACAAGAGCTCCACACGAAGCTTACCTGTAAACAAGGTATACTGTCCCAGTGAAGACAGTGCCTAATTCTCTCGTGTCCATAGTGATTTTATCCAAATGACCGTAACCGGAGTGACAGTGAACGTTAACTGAGGCATCCACAATTGTAAGTTGGGTCTACAAGCATTTTTTTCTATCATAAAGTCGTTTTCCGCATCTCTTTGCGTCTGACGCCAAATTGACTAACCAAAAACCAGAAATATCATTGGCAGAAATCTTGCTCACGTGATCGTAAATACGGTGGTATATAGTCGCAGTCTTATGATCAAAGTATGAACAATGTCAAGAGTATTAAAAGAGAGTTATTACGATATCCTACGCATTCACAAAGAAGCCTCGTTTAATGAGATCAAGTCCAAGTATCAACAGTTGCTACTTCTAGTAAGAACAGTCCATTAATTCATTAACTTGTACTGATTGATTACAGCGACAATTCACACATTTATACTTTGAGTAGTATCATCCAGATAAAGTAAGACAGAATATTGGACAAGATGAAGCAACCCATCCAGACGATGAGGGTGAAGTTGATAATCCACTGATTCACAAAATCGTTGAAGCATGGCAGACACTCAAGAATCCTGAAAAGAGGAAGGCATATGATGCACTTATCACTGGTAATTGAATCATGTTGCTACATTATTCTCGAGTTAAACATCTGATATATAAATAATATGAGTAATCAAACACAGCATCAGAATATGCTGAAAATCAAGAAATTATAAATGCAGAGGTAGACTTGGATGAAATGAATTTTAACGAGGGTGAGTATATTTAGGCATAAAATAAATCTACCATTACCACTTCCTGACCTGATTATACGTGAAAATAAAACAGAATCAAGCACTTATTCAACAGGATGTCGATGTGGTGGATCATATATAATAAGCGAACATGATATGGAAGAGGGAAAGGATGTTGTGGGATGCGTAAACTGCTCGTTGAAAATAAAAGTACTGTATGACGTCATTGATGAATCTTAAACTATGCATCGACCTTTTTTTTTTTTTTTCCTGTCAACTATTATACATCATGATCATTGGCATCGGAACTGACATCATACATCTCCCGAGAATTAAAGCCATCATCTCGAGAAGCTCGGGTTCTCTTTCACAATTCACAAGGCGCATCTTAACGCGACAGGAACAGAATGAATTTGAACAAATAAAGGATTTAAGCAAGATTATAAACTATTTAGGCGTAAGGTAACTGATAGACGCGACAAGAATCGATCGGTTCTATTATATTTAATCATGTGATCGCCATTGTTCAGATGGTGTGCCAAAGAGTCTGCTTACAAAGCACTCTTTCCATATTATAAACTTACTTGGAAGGACATGTACATAACAAAAGACAACGGTCTGTTGTTTCTATTGCTAAAATTTTTAGCGTAATGCATGGAACAAATTTAGCCTCACGATATCGTCATATCTATTATATTTTGTTTATATACAGCCAAGCCGCATCTGATGGTTGACGAAAATGTACGCAAGCATGTTGGCATGACAGCAATCCATCTATCAGTTTCTCACGATGGAGAATATGCAATTGCGTATGTTCTAATTGAAGGGACGCACAAAGATAAAACTTTAATCTTCGCACATTAAATTAGTCTCAAAGACCGAAAGTACAAATATACAAATTCTATTTTTGGCATGATTCATAAATTGCAAACAGACTTTGCCATTTGCAGTAATCACCATTGTGTTTTAGCTTCCTCAGACGTTCTTAATTATTCCCTCGTCTTTTGCTCTTTGCTCTTCTTTTCTTTCCTTCCTCGAATGCAGCAGCCTGTTCTAAAGTCCTGCCAAGATTATCTAACGGCTTAACTTTGTATATTCTCACTATCCAATTATCGGTTGTGTATGCTTCCTCGAGTGTATGTAGCTTCACGTTTCCTGGGGGTAACTTGGCTCCACGGACACGATCGACGCCCTGACCATTAAACAACTCGTTGTAATTGTGATAACTCATCTTATACATGATACTATTCCTCATTGTGGGAGAGGCCTCACTGTCAACGCGGTATTCGCCGCGTGCATTGAAAAACTTGCTTTCTTGCACATCGTTAGGATACACTCCTTCAGCGATACGCACCATCCACAAAAATTTGTTTATATCGTCTCCACTGTATGCGAGAAGACCTCCGAATATGATAAGAACGTAGTCAACGTCATGGCGACGCATGATCTCGTATGCTGTATCCTCATTACTCGCCATTGCTTTACCGACAGTTGCAATGTGAGTGTTATTCCAAGTATTGTTATCTACAAGAGTAGTTCGATCTGCCATTCCCGAAATCTGGTAACCATAATCCCACCATGACATCACCTTTGAGTTGTAGTCGGTATTCTTCCTTAGCCAATAATATGCTTCGCGGAAGTCATCAATTATAAATTGATTTCCATCTTGCGTTCTTGATGCCAATACAATCGATGGAGAAGAATAAGCACCTGACGTTACCCACGTACAATGCCAGGCAAATATAAACAAGAGAAACAAAAAATTGGACAACACTATAAGTCGCGTGTCTATCCCATACACTCCCCAATGATTATTATTATCCTTCTTCTTTGTTGTCTTTTTATCTTCGCTCTTAGCATTATCTCCCGGTTTTTTGCTGCTCGGTCCCCCATCTTTCTTTGCTTTTTCGTCTTTGGTTGTTTGAGTGTTGGACGACAGATCGGTGGTATCCAATGTCGATAAATCCATGTATGTGTCAAGCAGCTTGGACACCGTTACTGCGGCAGTCACGCATACAATCGGAGTAAGAGTAAGCATCAATCTGACCATCACTCCAGCAAAGTACGATGCTGTAATGCCATACAGTATGACAAATACGTGTTCATCCCTGAGCTCTTTGAAACAAATGTAAATGCCAGCAGGAAATAGAAAGACCAACATTTCCAAATCAAAGAAGAATGACGGCCAAGCAGTAGGCTGATGCTCAGAGACAGAGGCAATGATAGGAATATGCTTCTTAGCGTATCCTGTATCCCACAAAGAGTAGAATCTTCCAGTCCATGGAGCTATGTATCCGGCAGCCGTCAGCAATACCAATGCAGAAAACATAAGTACAAACGATAATACGATAAACCCTTTAAATAGTATCTGGAACTGATTTGATGACAAGTGACTTCTGACAAGTTCTACAAAGGCAATAATTTGGAGCAATCCGAAGATACCTGTATGACAAGGCAAAAGCATTATTGAGAAAATGAAAGCAGTATGACAAGTTCAGAATGCGGTTGAAATGTCATTGCCAAGAATTACCAAGTGCAGCCATATGTTCACTTGTTCTTGTTGGTTGAAACCCAACAAACGGTATTTGCATAGACATCAAAGTGCCAAGAACATAGAAAGATGAATATGCGACGTAAAGACGACTTGAAAATCTTCCCATGAGAACGAGAACTAATACATGCAAAGGTATCAGATTTATAATAAACACGTATCCACCTACGATATCAAAATAAAAATAAAGTGACGTTAGTTCAATGACTCAAATATATCAAGTGCTACTAAACGTAATTGACAAATGTTGACCGTAACATGTATGCATTAAATAATAATAGTCCAAAATCATTCTCATCACACAAGCACCCGCCATTGACACTTACCCCAGGCAGCAACCATATAGAAATAAAACAATGCTGTCAAAGCACCCCAATATGCAGACCCAATCTTCACTGCTTTTATCCACAAATAAAACGTGAACATCAATAGAAATATGGCAATGCCCTCATTGTCATAAGATCCCGCAACAGAACGCGAGATATACCCGGGAGCAACACCAATAAAGGCAGCCGCCAACAGCCCAGCTGATGAATCCTTTATCTCACATGTAAACAAATATGCTGCATAGGCAGTGATAGAAGAAAATACAGGAGCCAAGAAGACGCACACGTTCCTAATGTCCACCGGAAAATTAACAGCATGTAACACGTTGTATATCACGGCCGAGGTCGTCATTATCCCCGGAAATACCGTCCCGCCCACGACACGACCAAGAGGGTACCATGATCTATCATCAAACCAATTCCAGAATTCGTAAAATCCATTCGCAACTAAATGCTTAGTCGTACGAAAGTTGAACCAAGGATCGAACTCGTGGATGACACTTTCAAACCGGACAATGCTAAACAATCGACTGCCGATTGCTGTTGTGGCGATAAGAGCAAGAATAATAACCTTCAGTAAAGAAGCTTGGTTCTGGGATGTTAGGCCAAGGATCTTCATGACAGGATCGACATGTAAGTAAAGTATGTGAAAAAATTTGGATTCTCGTTAAAGCAACCACTGAGCTGCAACGTCAGAATTGAACACGTGTTCCCCGCATATCAGTGCATGTTACTCTACAGGATAATATAGTAATAGTGAAGGAAGTTATCGTTATGTGCTGAATTCCACATTTACATACAGTATGACGGAATTTTTTCACATTCAATCATATATTGCTTAATTAACTAGTGTCTCGCCTTCCATATTGTCATTGTTATGTAAGTCCAACAATCCGAATTTTATTTTGCCCGCAAATTTCGTATGCAACACGTCGACTACGCATATTTTAGTAAAACGCCTTTGATTATTTCACGGACATTATGGATGGCCATTTCGACTTATCTAGGTTATGCTTCTTCTTAGCTAATACAGCAAGGTGACGCGTCGTAAAAGCTGAATTTCAAACCCCAAGAATTTTGGCCTGCGATCAACGAAATGCCCATTTATTATTTGCTGAAACATTATCGTTCTGTCAAAAACGTGAAATAGCTTACGCCGACTTTAAAAGTAAATAGGCGGGGAAAAAACCCGAAATTTGCAACTTATAAATTAATAACATGTAAAGAAATAATGCTTGGTGTTAATATCAGAGTTCGTAAATAAACACGCTTTGTAATAAGATTCCGACAATCGTAATGGGTAATGAATTGACTATTTAGATTATTTGTTTATAATGCTAAAAGAGCAGTTTTGACAAGTCTCCAGAGAAAGTCGTTAACGGGGTATCACGATATGGGAAAGAAGAACAATGATGATATATTATATGCATCTTCAATAATAAGTTATGGAGCACAAGTTAATATAACGACTCAGAGGAAGAGAAATGTCAAGTATCGGACATTATAATTATAGTCATTGTTAACGCAATCCGATTGCAATATTTATTTTTCTGTGTCAATATCGATGTAAAAGTCTATATAAATCTAACTAAAATCTACAATACGAAAATGTCTTTGATTAGATATCATGATTTCCTGCGATCGGTTGATTCAATGTTTTTATAGCCATTTAAACCAACGTCGTTTGTGCTGTGATTCAACATATTTCTACCTTTCACGCGATCTGCCATTTTTGTCTTCTCAGCCTGTTTAACATACGCTTCCAAACCTATACCAGTAAAGACCAACCCAACGGCGAACCATTGATTACGACTCAGATGGTGATCAAACAAGAATACGGACAGAAGCATAGTAAACAATTTCCTGGTCACCGTGATAGTAACTAGAACCAAAGATTCAAAATTCTCAAGAGTGAAGAATATAAAGCACTGTCCCAATGCACCAAACGATACGAACAAGAGAATGTCCTTTAGAACGGCAGGGTGCCTCTGGCAGAAAGCGATCGCCAGGCCTAATTCCTGAGACCATGGCATCGACAGCCACGCGAAAAGGAGAAGTGTTGTGAAGATGTTCATAAAGAACATCATTTGTTGGCCGGTTATCTTGTACATATGGAACACCTGATCTTGAGTCGAATTAACATATCCGTCGATGACTTGATTGATTAACAGAAGCATTATTTCTTTACATGTTATTAATTTATAAGT